TCGCAAGGGTTTCGATTTAATATATTATTTAGAAAATTTTTACAAACTTAACAGTGATGTCAAAAATTGGGTAAGGTTGACATGTATTTATTTAGAAATAATGGATTGACATCTATTTTTTAGAAATAGTGGGTAAGGTTGCAAAAGATAGCGACTTGGAATGTTGTTTGGAGATATAAGCTATATATATAATATAATAATAATAAAAAAACTTTTTCTTCAAAGACATTTAATTTAAAATAATTTATATACAAATGCCATTAGAAAATATGGTAAATATTATTGTTTTAATTAATTTGATGGAGGTTAGTTTTATAAAATTATATTTATAATGAAATTTAAAACAGAAAAATAAATCAATATTAATAAAATATATCTCAATAGCTTTCTTAACTAGAAACGGATCCACGCATTGCATGGTTTTAATGTTGTATATTAACTTTTATAATTTTGTAAATTATATTAATTTGAAATATAAGTGTTTATTACAATATTTTATATTCAAATGGTAATAAGATATATTAAACTTAGTTGGTAAATCTACCGTTATATAAAAATAATAGAAAGAGTACAATTAACAAAATATGGTGATAATATAAGGGACAAATGATTTTAAAGAATTAGTTTTTTACATCAAAACGGTTTGAATATTAACATATCCAAATATATGTTAAAACATAAAATAATAATGAAAAAACCTAAAATTATTAACAATACGTAAATTTAAAACAAAAATAAATATAAAATATTTAGAGCATCTTCATTTTCTGAAGTATTTCCATTTTCTCAAACCTTACTCTATTTTTGAGCTGAAAATGGAGATATCTATTTTTGAGTTGAAAATGGATATGGTTAGAAAACGTTTTACTTCCAAAGTCTATTTTGGAGATGAATTTGAGATGGTCTTATCTTTTCATTGGTTTAGGTCAAGCATACTATTTAATTTTCTAGTTGATTCTCGCTTTTTTTTTGTCGAAACTATTTTGTAAACCTTTTTGGGTGTAAATAATTTTGATATAGAGAAAGCGACAATCAATAACAAAATAAAACAATATGCTTGACCTAAACTAATGCCATAAACATAAGACCATCTCTAATCCATTTCCAAAATAGAGTTTGGAAGTAAGACTTTTTCTCCAACTAATATTCATTTTTAATAGCTATATGGTTTAGGTTTATATAATCAACTTTTTTTATTAATTTCATTATATGTTATAATCATTTTAATAACAACATTTTCACAATATTATCTAAGAGATTTGAAAGGCTTTAAGCACAATTTACGCACTTTTGCAGATCATTGAAGCAAATACATCATCCATTTTGTCAGCAACACGAAACCTATTTGATTTGTGCATGCTATCCAAAGATGGGAATCATGAAGTAATAATACTTGTCAATGGATCTGACATGGCATGCCTTGATGATGTATCTCTTGATAGTTGGTGTAAAACTACGAGTGCTTTGGTCCACGTATCAAAGATGATATCTAAAGACGCACACATATCGAAAGAATTTTGATTTGCTTACATATTTGAGCGACGAGATATTTTCTAACATGGATTTTGGAAAAATTCCCGCTTTAAGCATGAAAGATATGCTTGACAATAACATCTATGCAATGAGTCGTTGTATGTCTTGTTCAACTGAACCAGTCAACAACTTTACCAACATTACGTATCTAGACTTGAGTAAGAAAGTTGTCAATTTAATGCCAACTAGATTATTAACTAATGCGGTTGAGATTAAGTACATTAATGTTCGTCTCGCTGTCTTTTCGGATTTTGAATGTTGTTTGAATGCTGTGAGCTACCTGATTGGTTCGATGCCTCTAAACTTAATACAAACATTAAAACCACCATAAAAACAATGAAATATGTAGGTGTTGTGGAAATGTTCGGATTTGGGAAGAAACGATCTTTGAACAAAGATAAAGTAACATCCAAACAAATCTTGGCTTCTTTTGAAGAAAGAAAAAACAGGCTATCAATTTCATAAGAAACACAACAAAGGGACTATCGATATCGTGCAAACCAAAAAAATTGATGAAATATCTATTGTTACCGCTCAGAAAACGTATTATCACACACATTATGGAGTGGAAGGACGCTCATTTGATGCAGTACCACGAAAGAGGATTCCTTGTAGTAATCACTGTAAATGTTGACCTCCGTGGCACGATTACTATGCGAATAAGAAAAACTTCAGAACTGTGCTAGCATATAAAGATGAGACAATAGATAAGAAACTTAGAAACGAACCTAGTAGAGCATTGCCTTGGTTAATATTTGTGCAAAAAAATATCATATAGATCAATCCGTTGGAACATTTGTACTAGGAAATATCAGATAGAGCAATCCATTGGAACATTTGTGTATTTTTTTTTCATTTTTTTGAAATTCAAATACTCCATCTGTTTCATTATATTAGATGTTTTAAGGATTTTATTTTGTTTCATATTATAAAATGTTTTACAAGTTTCAATGTAAATTTAAATGCATTTGATAGTTTGTGACTATTTATATTTTTCAGTATTTATTATGATTGGTTGATTTTTTTTAACTAAATATAAATAATGTTTTTAAAGAAAAAAAATAATGACTTAAATATGTGTGCACTTAGCTTAAGCCTCTTATATTTTAAAACAGAGAGTATAGTTCTTAATTTAATTTGCGATTTTTAAGTTTGCTCATAGCTATACAAAAAAAAGAAGAAAAAAATCATAAAAATATGTTGAAAATAAACTTTACAAAAGAAGAAGAAAAAATAACATTAATATAATATCACACAAAACTTCACCATTTGTCGAAAAAAAAAAACATTACCATTTTTAACTTAGCTGGAGCAAGTGGCCTTTAACTTGGGGTGTCAAAATGAGTTGAAATTGATAGATTAATCCAAACCAATCTAATATGTGGATCTAATGAGTGGGAAATTGGATCTTCATGGATTAATGGATTAGTGAGTTTAATGAATTAGATTGAAATGGTTTGGATTAGAATAGATTAGCAGGTTACTCATAACCAAACTAGAAATTAAATATTTATATCAAATGTGTAAACCAAATATAACCGAATCAAATGTCTAAACCGATTTTAGTAAACTAAAGCAAACATAGTTTTCTCAAATCTCTTAACCATTGATCTCTCTCTTTTCCTCGATCTCTCTCAATCTCACGGTTTCACCAGTAAATCCATCGACGACGTTCAACGACGAAGCCATCAACGCTATTCACTGGCAAAGTCACCTGCGCTCGAATCCCTCATCGCTGCTCGTGGAGTCCTTGTTCATCGTTTTGGGACAACGTGTCGATTGCGTTGGTGTAACCTTGTCGCAAGCGTAAACCTTTCTCTTTGATCAATTTAGGAACGAAGAAGCATAGAGAAAAGTATGTCAATGGCATTGACAATCTCGAATACACTCCATGACTGAACTCCACCATGGTGAATGATTATCAAATTGGGTGATGATGATTAATTGATGATGTGCAGTGATGGTGATGATGATGATGATGATGATGATGATGATGATGATGATGATGATGATGATGATGATGATGATGATGATGATGATGATGATGATGATGATGATGGTGGTGGTGGTGATGATGATGATAGTTATCTATACTATTAATTACAGTAGAACCTCTATAAATTAATACTCGATAAATTAATAAATACGATAAATTAATAAATTTGGCCGGTCCCGAGTCGGGCCAATGTAAAAATTAACCAAATTCGATAAGATAATAAGATAATATTTTTTTTGAAATCCCTATGTAAAAATATAGTGCCAATAATATCATAAATTAATAATCATGTAATTTGCACACACACACACACACACACACATATATATATATATATATATATATATATAGTTTTAGTGTTTTTCATAAAATAGCCAAAAGTTTTTGTAAGTTTTCAAATTTTGAATATGCATAATTTTTGTTTTAATAGTAGTATATATTTTTAAAATACAATAATGGATGTCTTTGTGAATTTTAATTTATGTATATCGTTTGTATATGTGAATTCTATAATCGTTGTTATTCATTGTCAAAATAAATTATTTTTTTGAAATATTAAGTGTTTAAAGCTAAAACTATAAAATTTATAACATCCAAAACATTAATCTTAGTTAGATCACAATTCTTTAGCTCATATTTTTTTTAAAAAGTTTTCACAATTGAAACAAAACTTTCTATAAATTAATAAATATTAATTTACGGTATAAATTAATAATTATTAATTTATAGATAAATTAATATCACTATAAATTAATAAAATATCATGGTCCCAACATTATTAATTTATAGAGGTTTTACTGTAATTAGGATAATTATTTACGTTATAAGAAATGTTATTGATCAACTCATTAAACCCATTAATCCATAAATTTAAATGAGTTATAAGTTTGATCCAAACCATTTGCTAAATGAATTTAGTTGATTCAATATCAATTAAACACTAATACTAAATGAATATGGATATAAGTTGGTTTGGTTTGGTTTAATCAACTTGATACCCTTACCTTTAACCCAACATTTTGTAAAAGCCCATCTCTACAATAATTATTTGAGAAGTAGAAACGCACCATATTGAAAGTTAGGGCATTGGAGGCCTGTGGTTAAAAGTTAGAATGATTTGTCCTAAACACCCTTAATGAATTGTTCTTCTCGAAATTTCTCCTTCTTCGTAATTAGGGGTATATAAGTCTAATCGTGTGTTGATCTCTATTATAATGTCCTAAACACCCTTAATTCAAAAATTTTTGTTCTTAGTTGTTAAGGGTATATAAGTCTAATCGTGTTTTGTGATGATTAGTCTTAATCACCCTTAATTTTTTTTATTTTGTAGTATGATCGTTGGGGATATGGAGGTCATAATATCTCGACTTTAATGATTATGGAATCTTAGCTTAAATTTATTTGTTAATTTTTTGGATAATTCTATAATTTAGCATTTAAAATTCGTTTTTGTTAGTTTTCTGATTTTGTTTCTAATTAAAAAGTAAAATTTCTTAAGATAATGATTGGTGTTTGCCCTAATCTTAAAGCTATATATATTGTTGATCGGCCAGAGGATTAGGTATTATTTTTCTGTGGCCATTAGATAGTTTTCACCGTTATGGTTTTTTTATATAGCTACTACGATTCTGATGAATCGCGTTGTTTGTCATGCAAATATTGTTTTTATGGACCTTTAAAGGTCGTGTGCATATTGTTTGTGTTGTTTGTTTTATTTTTTTGCATTATTCGATGATTTATTGTTTTGCTAATTTGGTGTTTTTGGTGTGTGTTTCAGTTTTGTATAACGTGGGAGGTTCCATCGACAAAGCTCTCTGACGAAGGTGGTGTTGACGAGCAAAGAGCGAGGTTTGGGGAGGTACTTCTATAGTTTTAATTTGTATATTTTTATATTTATTTACCCATATACATTTATGTGTTTCTTCCTGTTATCGTATATACTTTTATATGCGATTTTATTGCGTTTTATTTTTTAGTATTGATTTATAATTAAATTGTCAAATAGTTTTGAGTTTATGTGCAAGGTTTGACATCTTATTGTTTGATTTTCATCTTACCGTGATTTTGAAGGTACTCGATGAACTCATATCTCGGTTTGTGTCGGTTTATTGGAAACAGGTATTTCTCTTATTTGTATCTAATATGTTGGTTATTGTGGATCGGTTTTAGTTTGGTATTAATTTTCTAACTTTTAAATGATGATTTGGCTTTTGTTTTTTGTATATATATTTCGCGATAATCAAATGTTACGGGTTATTCTTATTTCGTACCGTTGGCTTAGGTAACCGCTGGTGTTTCCTTCTCCCGAAGATGCACGAATGATATGTTTTATTTTAATAAGGTATTTTGTCGAATCTTGTGTATTTATTATGTAACGTAATAATCGTTTTATGTTTAATTTATATATTTGTTTCTCTGATGTTTTAGACCACACGGGATTGGCGTAGAAGAGTTGTTGCTCCGTCGTGTTTTACGGATCGCGTGGGCTTTTGTAAGCATGTATGTTTGTTCTCTTATTGTCTTATGTGTCATGACTTGTATATATAGACATCAGAATATCTTACCATTCTATAAGGTATGATTTTAATTGTTTTGTTTGTTTGTAAAGGTTTTGAGTTGGCTGAAGTATTCATTACGACCGAATATTTTGAAAGAGGTATGTTGTGTGTAGTTTACGTATTTGTTAGATCCTATGTCCTATTATTATAGATGTCTTCGTGTTTTCTAAATTATTTGTTTGTTTTCTATTGTCTACTTATTTTTTGGGTTTTTTTTTTTTTTTTTTTTTTTTGATGTAGAGGACTGAGATTGGAAGCAAAGCTAGGAGTTACAGCAGTATCTATTTGTTGTTTAGTTATATTGCTAAGGGTAGTGATGTATCTATTGATAAATACGGATCATATCCTTTGGTGTTTGGTATTGATCAAATCGTACCAAATTTTGGATCGGGGCCTATATTTGAAGACTCTGATGATGAGTAATTATTTTATTTGAATTTGTTGCTATTTATTTGGCTTCTATATATTTTATTTAGTTAATGATTAATATTCTGTTTTAAAAATTTATGTCGATCTAACTCATTATATCATATTAGCGATGGTTCTAATTATTCTTATTGGCGTTATCTATCTTAATATGGTGTGAGTTTTGTTTTGTGTATAATCTAGAGATTCACATAGTTATTAATATTATTTTGTTGCTATTCTTATGTTTTAAATAGTTATTAGGAAAAAGATATTTTTTAAATTTAAAAATTTGTGGCTATGACTGCTTATTTCAATTTCCACCGTGTATGTGCACTGTAAACAATTGTTTCATTTATTTCGAGATTTTCTATCTCTCTCTGATTCCTAAAAGAAAACTGAAGGGTCTTGGGCGGTGGTTTCGTTCAAAGATGTCCGAGCAAATCTACCTTTCTAATCTTTCTCGAGGTAGGACGCTTAAGTACGTTCGGGTGAAGATTCTGAGTCTTTGGAGGGTTCGCATCTATGGATTTAGGTGTAAAACAGAAATGCTTCTTGCCGACGAGCAGGTGCGTGTGTCTTTGTCGTTTTTTCTTTTGATCGGTTAGTTTGTTGATTTTGGGTGGATCTGCTAGATTATTTTTATAGTTTTGCTTATTTTATTATAAATCTTTAAGGATTATTTGTCTTTGGTTTGTGATTTGTTGTTTAGTTGTGTTAAGAAATATTTGATTTTTGTTGTTTTGCATGTACCTAGGGGACAAAAATTGAGGGTACAATCGGTTGTGGTCCTTTCCATAACGTTGATATGAGGGAGTTAAGGGAAGATGCGTGGTATACTATTTCTGACTTTGTTGTTTCTGTTCCGATCCGGAGGACCCCGAACACACTTCACCCTTTCCATATCAAGTTCCACAGTGATACAAAGATGACATTGATTTATGATCTCTACTCGCCCAATTTTTTTGAGTTTGCAAAATATTCTGTCATTAAGAGGAGGCTTTTGGAGGCAAATCGTCCCTTTGGTGTGTCACATTCTTTTTATTAGCTAATCTCATTTTTGGTTTCTATTATTGTTTGAAGTATCTTTAGTTTTTTATTTGTTAGATGTTCTGTGTTGTTAGAAACCTCTTATGTCTCTATTGGTATGATTTGTAGTGATATGTGTTCTTTTTGTGAGTTTGCTAGATTTATGTGGAGTTGTGGTCTATGTGTCTGAAATTAAAAGGATGACTTATGTTCCCGGAGAGTATGATGCAAGTACTGCATGCAATTATCTATATTTCCGTCTCATGGATCAGAAGTAAGTCTATGAATTTGATTTTGTTTTGGTGCTATATTTAGTCCATGGTTATTCTTGGTTTTTTTTGTGATTATGTAGAGTTTATTTAAAGACTGTCACTGATCTTAAGTGTTTTTGAAACGGTGATTAATAAAACAGAGGTAGGGAGCTGCCATGTTTTGCGCTTGGTCATTATGCTGCTGATTTTATGAATGTGTGGACAAGCCGAGGCTACCAGGCTTCATTCCGTTATCAACCTGTTTTCTGTGTGTTGCGTTTCTGGAAAGTCGATGAGTTCATGGGTATGCATTTGGTGTATTGATGTCGAATCTATTATGGATAATATATATAAAGGGCTTATTCAAATTGTGTTGATGTGGCTATAGGTGAACCTTCTATCTCCACCAGAATTGGTTGTTCTAAGATATATCTTGAGCCCACATTACCGGAGATCAAGGACTTGAGGATGATGTAAATGATTATTGTGATTTTTTAGTGTTTATATATGTAGTTTGATTTTGTTATGGATTCAAATTTATTATTTTGTTTAATGTATTAAATTTAATTCTCAGGTCTGTTTTCATAGCTAGGGTAACATGGGCTATTAAAGAAGGTGAGGATTGTGATGACGTCGGTGAAGTTGTTGATCAGAATTCTTAATGTTCTTGGTGTAAATCAAGAATTGTATCCCTATTTCCGTAGTGTGCATAAACATGGATACCCTCTTCTGTTGGTTTAATTTCTTTTTGTAAAAATCTCTTCTTCTTGTGTTATGTTATTATGTCATGTTGAGATATTTATTTGGGTTTTGTAACAATTATCTTTTGTGTTCGAGTTTTGAATATGTCTTTATCTTTAGATTCGTTGAAGTTATCTAAACTACTTTATAGATTTTCTAATTATTTTATATTGTAGATTAGCTTGTGGTAGAGATTATGTCAGATTTTTGATGTATGACTTGTGTTGTCATATCTTGCATGGTTTGTAATAATTACACAGCCGAAATATGGATAGTTGCTGTTTCCAATCATCAAATCTTCTGAACGGATAAAAACCTTTTTATTTAATTATTGATTATTCAGTAATCGATGTTACGTTAGATTGATTTCTATATTAGTTGTAATATACTTCCAATTCCACTTATTAATTCACGCTGCTACTTCTAAAAAAAAAACAGAGAAAAAAAAAAACTCTTCGGTTTCTTGCTTCGTCTTTTCGGATTATCGATATTTCTTATTGAAGTATCTATAACCAGTTATCAATTTTAGTTGTTTCCTTCACCATGGCTTACTTCCATGATGTTTCGATTTTGCGCCCTTGTATTACGGGTTGGCACATAAGAGTGAAGGTTCTGCGCATGATTACTGTTTGCATAAATCCTCGGAATGCTCTCCGTTTGGTTCTGGTGGATGATAAGGTACTTTGGTTTTGTTCTGTATAGATTTGATTTTAAAATGCTAATTCGTGTTAGTTACTAAACAGACTATGTCGTGTGTCTAGGGTTTTAAGATCGATTGTTGGATTAATAGTGAATATGCGAAACATTATGCTGAGTTTTTGAAGGAAGATCGATGGTTTTCTTTTACGGCGTTTCGTGTTCTTGAGAACTCTGATAGGGTCAGGCTTACCAATCATTATTTCAGAATGTCTGTCTTTGGAACGACTGTCGTTCTTCCCGCCGATCCACCGTCGACTGAACCCCGTGACTCCTTTACTCCGTTCAGTTCGATAATTGACGGAACGGTTGACGAGAGTGTCTTGATTGGTAAGTTATATATAATGCTCATTTTGTTTGTTGTGTTTGGAAATACCTGTCTGAATTATAGTTGTGTCTGTTTCTTAACTAGATTTGATCGGGGTTTTGTCTGATGTTGGTGAATTGGTGAATGTCGGGACAAATCCATCAGATCTCACTGGCTTTAGACTGAGCTTTCGGATTCGTGGGCCTTGGTTAGTAAATAGATATTTTCTCCCTTTGTGAATTTTGTCTGGGTATTGTCCTGTTTGGTGTTAAATGTTAATTATATCATTTTTATTTTTGTTGTTTTGTTTGTGTTTTCTTGAATAAATATAAAGCGGGAATGCTATCGATGGTTTGGTGTCGGGACGCTCAGCGATGGAGTTCCGAAAGCACTATGACTTGTGTGTTTCGAAGCCTTTGGTCTGTATTATGCGTCTGTGGAAGGTAGACAGATATTTCGATGGACCAAAGAATGTTAGGATTGTTAACCAGGGGCTGATTTCTAAGGTTTTGCCATATCCTGATGTTCCTGAGGCTGCTGAATTTTGCACTATGTCGGTAGTCATTTCCTATGTTCATTATTATTTTATTTTTTATTTTTTTGTTTTTATATCTGATTTTTTGTTTGGCTGCTTTGTCTTAGGTCTTAATGTGTTGGTGAGACAAGTGATTCGAACTAGGACATTAACGGTGGATGTGTAGTGCGATTCGTCTGGACGTTGCCCGTGTGACTCTTTTGTGAATATCGGAAATGTTAACTGTTTGTTTTTGGTTTTGTACTCGGATCATCTTGGTTTGTATGAATATCAACTTAGAATAATATTCTCCTTTATGCGGTATTGATATATTATCGTATTGACATATGATAATCTTCTGTTTTTATGAATGATGGTATGTTTTGTAATTAGTTTCAACCATGGTCGCTAGATTTAAACGGTCATATATATAGATAGATTACATATATATATATATATATATATATATATATATATATTTTTTAAAAATATATATAGATAAAAGGTTGAATTTATTTTCGATAATATTTGATAGTTTTCTGTTTTAGTGAAGATTTTATTTATGATAGATTCTGTTTTAGTGGAGATTTATCTTATCATAAGTAAATTTTTTTGATAAAAAAAAAGTAAATTGTTTTATTTAGTATGTTGATATTGTTCAATTTCTATATTTTATATTTGTGAATCTTCCTAAACTAAATACTCGCGTATATATATTTTACTTGATATATATATATATATATATGTATAATAAATAATATTCTCGCACTTTTCTTTATTCCGCAAAATTTGTTTCTATTATGGCTCATCTTCTCTCTAATGCCATCAGGAACTCGATTCGTAAAAGAGAATGTTTTTTTAGTGTTTCTGATTTGAATCCCTTTGTTCATGAGTGGAAGATTAAAGTTAAAATACTAAGAAAGTTTTATTTGTATGAGACGTTGGAACTAATATTGGTGGATGAAAAGGTAAACTAATGTATATTGGGCTTTGTCTTGATCTGTATCCAATCTAATGTTTCTTCGTAATTCTCTGGTAATCTATTATTTATCCATTGACATGCCTTTTTCATTTTTTCGTATTAGGGTCAAAAGATTCATGCTGTAATAAACAAGGAGTATGAGGATCGGCGCACTTCGAAAATTGTTGAGGGCAATTGGATAAGTATAACTAATTTTGATTTGGTTCCTGTTACAGGAGCTTTTAGACCGGTTCCCCATCGTTTTAAGATTGTATGGAACTCAGGCACAACGATTAAGGACATTCGACCGTTGTGTTCCGCTGAGTTCTTTTCGTTTGTCGCTTTCGAGGATATCAAAAGTGGTTCTTTGGACCCTACTTTATGTGTTGGTAATATCAAATTTTCTTATTGTTAATGTGTTTAGTGTAATTAATAATATTTTATCATGTGTTGATGTAGGAGATTGTTTTGCTTTTCGTTTTAATATTATCGTGTGCAATTTGATATGTAGATCTAATTGGACGTGTCGTGAGGGTTGGTAATGGAAGAGAGTCCGGCCCACCTGCTTCTGATTGGAACGAGTTATTTTTGGAACTGGAAAACGAAGAGTAAGTTTCTTTGTTGTTAAATGTTTTTTTTTACTGTTATTGTGTGTTTTGTTGTGGATATATTTATTTATATATATTAATATATAAATATTTATAACACTCTGGTCTCAAGGGGAGAGCGTTTGCAGTGTCGTTTACCAAATGAATACTCGAATGCGTTCTTTAACGAATGGAGGAATTGTCTTGATAACATCATCATATGTGTATTGAGGTTCGCGAGGCTAGAAGTTACTCGAGGTAATTCGATTGACATTTCCTGCATGTGATTTTTATTTTTCTGTCGTGTGTTGGATTTAAATATATTATTTATTTGTGTTCAATTTATTTAATGCGTTATTGTTTTTTTGTTTATTCTTTGTTTGGTTATTAGATTTCTGGAGAGCTACCACTGTATACACATGTACCAGGATTTTGCTAAATTATCGATGTGTTGAAGTTACAAGAATGAGGGATGTGTTTTACGCTAGACGGGAAGCGGACGATTAGTTTTCAAAATGGATTTTGTATGCTTTTGGCTTCACATTTATTACTAATGATTTCTTATTCTGGCTTTGGCATTTTATTCGAACGATTTGGTTTAAGTTCTTAATGTTAGTAGTTGGTGTATTCTTTTATGCAAACGCATTAATCGTCATACTTTATCATACAGTTAGTTAGTAAATTGATTTCTCTCTCTCTCTCTTTTCGGCCCGTTGTCACGCATGTGGTCCTAATAAAGTGGATTTGGAAGATGGAAATATATATGACTAATTCAAAATTTATATAGTGTTCGTGGTAAGATTTGTATATATATATTTTTTTTGGGTTAGTAATTGTGTACCATCTACTTTTTATTTGCTTACCTTCTTTTGTTCTTTTTATAGATGTTGTTGGTAAGGTCGAGAACGTGAGTGAATTATATTTTGTTCCTTTAGTCGGCTCCTCCGGAGGATGTTTTGAAATCTTATTTGATTGGCGTAATCCAGAGTATGGTGTATTGTTTCTATTCGCATTTTTTAAAAAATGGGATAGTAACAAATCAACGATTTCGATAAACCTTAACTTTATACGATTGACATTATAGTACAGCAGCAATATTGCCCAGTGATGATATTGGTTTGGAATCTAGCATTCCTACAGTAAGCAATATATTCTGATAACAGAAAAAGATAGAATATCGAATCTATTATATTCTGATTAACCCAATAAAGTAAGATTTCTATATTCTAAGATACTGTTATGAGATTTTTAAAATAAAATATAAGATTGTTTAGGCCGATGAAAATATAAGATTAGGGATATTAACAATATCAATTTATGCGGAAAAATAAGTTGCCTTTTTTAAAATGTGATAGTAACAAATCAACTGTTTCGATAAACCTTAACTTTATACGATTTACATAAGGGTAAAAATAGCAGTTTTGTCTAGCGACAATATCGTGTGGCTATCTAGCGTTTCCATGGTGAGCAATATATTCTGATAGCATAAAAGGATATTATATCGAATTTATTGTATTCGTTTGAATCTAATTAGGTAAAATTCCAACGTTATAAGATACTGTTATGGCATTTTTAAAATATAATGTTAATTTCCGTAGACCGTGAGACCAATGAATATCCCTGACATTATTTATTAATTATTAACCTCCTTATTTGGGTATAAATAAAGGTGCGCGTGTCCCCTAAACGATCACCTCTTGATCGATTAGATAGCATTCTCTCTGTTTCTTCAGTCGTAAAATGTCTCAAAATTCCTCACACGATATCACAAGTGACGTAGACCAACCGGATGTTTGTGTTGATTTTGCTGACTTAGGCCCCGGCATGGTTACTATGAGGGTTAAGGTGAGAATTAT